CGATCTCTAACTTCCTCAATAGCATTCTCCACTTCACCAAACGTCCATTAAGGACTGGTCTTTCCAATAAGTACTAGAGTGGGTCTATTTTTGAGATGAGCTTGACTGAATGAGATAAGACATAATGTCTTAACTTCTGCATGGCCCACACAAATGTTAAGTAGTGCTTCTCCACATTCGTGTAGCTTGTCTCATAGTCGACCATGGTTTTGATGATGTAATATATTGTTTGTTCTTTTCCATGGTCGTCGTGTTGTCCTAACATTGCCCCCATAGTCTTATCTTTCACTGACATGTATAGGAACACGGGTCTATCGGGATTAGGAGGACTAAGGATGGGAGGTTTGGTGAGGTACTCCTTGATTTGGTCGAACGCTTCTTGGCATTCATTATCTCATATGAATGGGGTATCTTTTTTAAGGAGCCTATTGAAAGGCTCACACTTGTTTGCCAGTTGTGAAATAAAACGCCTTATGGCTTGTATGCGACCTTGAAGCCCACAGATTTCTCTAATAGATGTATAGAGCAAAAAAAGAATTATTTTTAGGGTTTTCTCTCTTTAAAACTATTTTCTCTTCCTTTGACAAATAATACCATATATTTGAAAATAACAAAATGATGGGTCAATTCTTGTATCTGAAAGTTGAGGTAAGTTTCTACGTTTATTAATGTAGATATTTTACCTTAATTTTTTCTTCTTTTGGAACAGCTGACTATGAAATTAGGGATTAATTGCAAATCATATTTTTTAGCCGTTTACCTGATGATTATGGATAATGGAATTTTATTTCGTGTTTGCATGTAAAATTTCAAAGAGAAACTATGGAATTTTCATTTCGCTTTTCGTAAATTGTTTTTATACAAAATCAACAGCAACATATTAAGGTTTCCAATTTTATAGCAAGTCCTAAATTGATTCCTCTAAAATTAGGGATTATGCAAAATCAACAACCACATATTAATAATTTGATTATTTATTGAGCAGGTTGAGACTTTTGATTATCAAAGTTGAGGTAAGTTGCTCAATTTGTCTTTGTATATGGATTTTAGCCGATATTTTCTTTATAGAAGAGAATTTAGAAGCAACTCCTGAATTGACTGCTCTGAAATTAGACAATAATATTGAATTTGTATTTTTTTATAGTTATTTGCTATGAAAATGGGATGTTGCTTGGTTTATCTTTGTGCATAGATTTTGTCTAAATGGTTTCTTTGTAGAAAATAATTTTATAGCAAGTCCTTAAGTGATTCCTCTGAAATTAATAATTAATACCAAATTTGCATTTTTAAATATGGTTTGCTCTGAGATTGAGATGTTATGTGAAATTATGTTGAGGATTGTGAAGAAGGGAATTTTTTAATAATCTTACACAATTTTGCCGAATTTGCATTTTTTAAATATGGCTTGCTCTGAGATTGAGATCTTATGGGAAATTATGTGAGGATTGTGAAGAAAGGAGTTTTTTAATACTCTTATACTATTTTTTGATGTTGATGTTGGGTGTGCCCTTAGTCACATACAATACTAGATTCATTCTAACCAATGCTCGATAAAAATTGAGGTGATTATAAGACAAATATTCTAATGTACGTCAAATAAATGTCTTAATGGTAGATTATCAAGCGTGAAGATATGTCGTGGGTTAATTATGCTTATACTTGTCATATGAGGCTAAGTGTATTATAATTTACGCTTGGTATAGGTATTAATAAAAGCGTGAGTTTTATAATGAACGGTGGATAAACTGTCTTAACGAATGCTGGACAGAAGATATATAAGTTCGACAAGCTTAACCTTTAAATATATATCTTGGATGATATAAGTATTTCTTATTCCTCATATAAGACTAAGTGTGTTCTAACGAACACGATATATTGAAGATGTCAAATATACAGCAAAGTCGGTAATGCACGCTGGATGTCTTAACAGATGATCGATAAGATACGAGCATGGTTTTTTATAATACTTACTCAGATATGCCCCATGATATGAAGATATGATATGGAAGATATGCTCAGGATTCGTGATATGAAGGCCCTAATATGCATTCAGAACCCTGATCGTCAATCATCTTCTATATGTGTTCGGAACCCTGATTGTCAGTTAAACATATTCAAGTTTAACTTACGGTTGATGATTGAAGATATGAAATCCATCTCATTTTGAGACAAGTTCTAAGATACATATACTCCTAAGGCTTGATATAGCTATCCATGTGATATATGTAGCAACCTAATGCAGTTTTATATACATATTTTTTTGAATCCATCGTTAGTTACGCATGTGCATCATAACTTACTGTCTATGAAAAGAGATCATAAAGTTTCAATT